TGAGCTTGTGAGCTTTGGAACCGAGATGGACCCAACGTCAGCTCTCGTACTTTCTAAAACAGTGGTTACCAGTGCAAGGGATGTTGTGTGAAGGGGTCCCGACGTTGGCTGTCGCTTCTGAACACAACGGAAGGTTGAATTCTGCTGTGATGAGTCAAGCCGAGTGCTTAAGGTTTTGCATGATTCGTCATTTTATGAAAACTAACTGATCCGGCGTTTTCCAAACCTTTGCCCTGGGGAGAGTGGAATGAGTGACAGTTAATAGTACTGTTGGGAAAGGAATCGCAGTGAAAGCTTGCGGATTACAAATACCGAGGTGTCTGAAGGAAGCTTGTGGAGTGGGCTGTGGTTGGCTTCTGCAGACCGCCAGGGTATCCAGGGATGTCACAGGAAACACTGATTCCTAGTCAGTAACAGTTGTTCTGGGCGGTGAATGCAGCTGCTGGGAGAGTCACCCCTTAATTCTGAGAAGAGGGGTGTACTTAGTAGCTGGAGTTAAAAACCAAGCAGATTTGGGGGTACAGCTGGATCTCAGGTATTCGCATATGCACCTCTTTATTTGAAAGGCAGAGAGCAAGTGCAGTGCACCTGCGGTCACATCACAGCAGGAGCAGGAGGTGACCTTATGGGCCATTCGGGGTCTTCATTAGCAGGAGGAGGGTTGAGGGGCAGGTGTAGCCCTCGCCCTCACGTTGCTTGAAAGACAATGAGAGAGAAGACAGAGGTCTTGTGTCCTCTGATCACTTGCCTAGTGCCTGCAACAGCTGGCCCAGAAACCTGGGAACCCAGTTGGAGTCTCTCGTGTGGGTGGCAGGGACCCAGGACTTGAGCCCTCAGCTGCTGCCTTGCAGGGTACACAGCAGCAGGAAGCTGGCCCGGGAATGCCAGCTTGATGGGGAATGCCGCTGAGCTGCCAGGCTGGATGCCTGCCCCAGGTAGTCCCAGCTAGAAAGGACTTGGGAGCAGAGTGGTTATGGACTGGTCACTGAATAAACTATGGTTTCCCTTCCTGGCCAGGCTGAAAGGGATGGAGGGTTGGCCAGGAGAGAGCAGGACCGTGGGGCAGGGTGGGCTGCCTGATAGTGGTACATTGTTGGGGCCACTGGGGGCTTTCCCAGCCCTGTGACTCCTGTTCAGGAGACTGGAGAATGAGCTCCTGGTCAGCTCCTCAGAGGCCTTGGGTGGTATGCTGCCTGCGTGTTCTAAGAAAAAACTGTCAGGTTTGCTCCTTCCAGAGGTCATTGCCTGAAAGCATTCGGCAAGTCTTCATACAATTGAGTCATAAGGACAGCTCACAATGATTGTTGCGAGGTGTCAACATCAGTGAACTTGAAATGGTCAAGTTCACCAGTCAGCACTATTTTATAAATGTTATGTGGCTCTGAACGAAGCAGACAGCAAGAGAAGGTGCTAGACAGGAAAGGGCATGAGCCCTAAACAGTGCTGTGTGTGATGGGTACAAGCCCGCTGAGGTTTGGAAGGGGCCCGAGGTGAGGAGGGCTCAGAAAAGGAAGAGAAGCAGTGAGAAGGTGATCTGAGACGCAGGAAATTAGGGTCAGGCCACGCTGCAGGTACAGGGCCAGCAGCCCCTAGGGCCCGGGGAACTAGTGCCTGGTGTGGCCCACCGTGCCTGGGTACAGTGAGAACTGAGTTCACCCAAAGTCACCCATGTCAGATGACATCAGGTGGCTTTTTCTCTTGGGTGATGGAAGTCTCGGACTGGAGGTATGCAGTAGCAGGAAGGAGCAGGGCCCAGGACCGGAGCTTGAGGCTGCCCAAGATGTGGGGAGGGGTACAAAATGGTAGTTTTAATTCTTCAAAAATTTTTATGTCATGCCAACTGTATCTAATATCTGGTAATTTCCAATGCCCACGTCCAACAGCCAACTGAAATCAGGTGTTGGAAGCTCCAGGGGACACTCAGCTGTGCTTTGTCAGGGGTGGGGCGTGCACTGCTGCTGGCTGCTGAACCGCCTGCTGGGGGTGCACAGGGCATTGCCGTCCAGGTGTGTCTTGGTTTTCATTGGGTTTGAGAGCTACAGATTAATGTCCCAATGTTTTGTCACTTAGAGTAACCTTACTAAACTAGGAAACATTTCCAAGCGCTTCGAGTAACACAGAAATTAAAAATTTCAGAATATGTGTGAGAATTTTTGTTTTTATTTTTAAGATTTATTTAGTTTTATTCCAAAGTCAGATATACAGAGAGGAGGAGAGACAGAGGAAGATCTTCCATCTGATGATTCATTCCCCAAGCGGCTGCAGCGGCTGGAGCTGAGCAAAACTGAAGACAGGAGATTCTTCCGGGTCTCCTATACGGGTGCAGTTTTTGGGCCGTCCTCAACTGCTTTCCCAGGCCACAGCAGGGAGCTGGATGGGAAGTGGGGCCACTGGGATTAGAACCGGCGCCCATATGGGATCCCAGTGCGTTCAAGGCGAGGACTTTAGCAGCTAGATCGTTAAGCACAGCAACGATTTTCTAAGTGATTGTTACCAATTTACACAACAATGTATGAACCAGTTTAATATTTTTATTGGCAATTGCTGTTTGTGTTTTTTTCCCTTTATTTTGCCTTTCTTGTTTATTTGAAAGACACAGCCTCAGCAAGAGAGCGATCTCCCATCTGTTGGCTCACTCCCAAATAGTTTTCCAAGGCCAGGGCTGGGCTAGAGCAGAGTCTGGAGTCAGGAGCTTCTCTGCTGCTTTCCCAGGTGCATTGGCAGGGAGCTGGATTGGAAGTAGAGCAGATGGGACTCAAACCAGCATTCATATGGGATGCACTGGCATTGCAGGCAGCAGCTTTATCTGCTATGTCATAACACTGACCACACCTCCTCATTTTTTTTTTATTAATGAATTGGCTTATGGGGGCTGTAGGGTAAGGCAAATTCCAGATCTCTAACACAGATTAGGAGGTCAGAAACTCTGGGAGAGGTTGATGCCTCAGTCTCTTTTTTTCTTCAAAGGTTTATTGATTTTTATTTATTTATTTATTCATTTAGTTTTTATTGGAAAAGGTGGATTTACAAAGAGGAAAGACAAAAAAGATCCTCTATTCCCTGTTCATTCCCCAAGTGACAGCAATGGCCGGAGCTGAGTCAATCCAAAGCCAGGAGCTTCCTTTGGGTCTCCCGTGTGAGTGCAGGATCCCAAGGCTTTGGACTGTTCTTGACTGCTTTCCCAGGCCACAAGCAGGGAGCTGGATGGGAAATGGAGCAGCCAGAGCATGAACTGGTGCCCATATGGAATTCCATGCTTGGAGGTGGAGGATTAGCCAGTTAGTTGAGTCACTGTGCTGGGCCCAAAGATTTATGGATTTATTGACATTTACTTATTTGGGGTTTTGCTTGTTTGTTTGTTTTGGTAATTAAAAGAAAAAATATTGTTTGTTTGAAAGAGAGTAAAGGAGAGAGCAGTGTCTTCCATCCACTTGTTTACTCCTCAGATGGCTACGGTGGCCAGGACTGGGCCAGGTGGAAGCTGAGAGCCAGGACATTTTTCCAGCAAACCCACATGGGTGGCTGGGGCTCAAACACTTTAGTCATCTTGTGCTTTCCCAGGTCATTTGCAGGGAGCTGAATGGGGAGTGGAGCAGGTAGGACTTAAACCAACACCTATCTGATATGCCAGTGAAACAAGCAGCAACTTTACTAATTATGCCAGGAAATCAGTCCTGAAAAAGAGATATCTGCCATTTACTAGTTCACTCACCCAAACGGTTGCCCAAGCTGGGTTGAATCAAAATCAGGAGCCAGAAACTCTATGCAGGTCTCCCACATGTGTAGCAGGCTTGAGCCACCTGCTGCTGCTTTCCCAGGTGCACAAGTAGGGAGCTGTGATGCAGGTGGTCTGTGTCTCATTGCTGGCCCTTTTCTGTTGTCAGTGGTGGCCATTCTTTCGGTTACTAGTTGTAATTTAAGAATTAAAAACAGGGCCCGGCGTGGTGGCGCAGTGGTTAAGGTCCTCGCCTTGTACGCCCGGGATCCCATATGGGCGCCGGTTCTAATCCCGGCAGCCCCACTTCCCTTCCAGCTCCCTGCCTGTGGCCCAGGAAGGCAGTCAAGGACGGCCCAAAGCTTTGGGACCCTGCACCCGCGTGGGAGACCCAGAAGAGGCTCCTGGCTTCGGATTGGCATAGTATCGGCTGTTGTGCTCACTTGGGGAGTGAATCATCGGACGGAAGATCTTCCTCTCTGTCTCTCCTCTCTGTATATCCGCCTTTCCAATAAAAAATAAATAAATAAATAAATAAATAAAAAAGAATAAAAACAAACAAAAAGGGCCCAGTGTCATAGCCCAGGTTAAAATCCTCACCTTGTACACCCTGGGATCCTTCCCATATGGGTGCCAATTTGAGTCCCAGCTGTTCCACTTGCCATCCAGGTTCTGGATTGTGGCCCGAGAAAGCAGTTAAGGGTGGCCCAAAGCCTTGGGACCCTGCACCCACTTGGGAGATCTGGAAGAGACTCCTGGCTCCTTGGCTTCAGTTTTGCTCAGCTCCAGCCATTGCGGCCACTTGGGGAGTGAATCAGCAGATGGAAGATCTTTCTGTCTCTCTTCTCTCTGCAAATTTGACTTTCCAATAAAAATTAATTAATTAATTAAGAAATAAACAGTTGTAAGGAATTGCCAGCTTACTGGTAGAGAATCCTTACTGGCAGGATACTGTTACTCTACTGGCATTTTGGTTAGGTTTTCTTGAGTGCAAGCACTTCATGTAGTCCTGGGTTTTACTGCCGTAAGAAGAACCCCTCAATGGAAGTTCAGATTCTGGGTGTTATCGGAAGGCTGACTGACCGTGTATTGTAGAAGCACGGGTGCCGTGCTCACGTGGTGATTTAGGAGGAGAAAGGGCGTGGTCAAAGCTGAATGAAGCTGAATGCTTTGTTTCAGATTGTTTTAGCTTTAAGCCCACCAAGAAATTAGTCTTCTAGTTCCATAAACTTTTGCATTCAATCTTAAGGGCAGTAAGTAATGTAACAGGTCTCATTTTTTGCTTTTCAGTGAGGTGCTGATGGAGGAGTCCATAGCATGTTTCCAGAAAGCCCTAAATTACCTTTGGGAAATCTGGGAATCAATTGGGATTCCAGAGGATCAGAAACTGCAGAGAACTGAGGTTGTAAAGAAGCATGTCAAGGTGAGTTTTGTTGGGTGGGCTGCATGAACCTGGGTGAACGTATGGTGTCCCTGTCCCAGCCAGGGAGCGAGCAGCAGCTGGGCGTTGGAGCATCACAGCTCTCCTGTTGGTCTCTGTCCTCATGGGAGTGATGAGAGTGTGGGTGTCGGTGCCATGGGTTTTTCTGCTGGACCTCTGTGTGTCTCGTAGGAGCTGCTGGACATGATGATTGCTGAGGAGGAGAGCCTGAAGGAGCGCCTCGTCAAGAGCATCGCCAACTGTCAGAAGGAGCTGAACACCCTGTGCAGCGAGTTGCGTGTGGAGCCCTTTCAGGTGTGCAGCCGCCCTGGGGTCTTGGGGCTCCCACTCCCCGCGTGGGTGCTGCCAGCTGTGAGATAGGGCACTGCATGCTGCCTCCTTGCTCATGAACCACAGGGGAGGAGGCTGGCATCTGCAGAGAGCTGCCTGGGAAGAGGTGGAGCAGCTGGTGGGTGCTCCCTGCCATGCCACCTGGGCCAAGGTCATTGCTTCCTCCTGCGGAGGAAGAGGGGGTGCATAGGGGCGCTGCGCTCTTCTCTGAAAGTGGAAGGGAGGGAAGGAGCTGTGCCTGGGAGGCAGGAGTAACTGGCTATCCCCAGGAGTGTCCCCAGCCCTGTCCCTGCATGCCCAGAGCTGCAGACCACTGAGTACATGAGGGCTGCCTCGAACTAAAGGCTCAGGAGTATCAGGGGGCCATGGTCCAGGAAGACACCCGCAAGGATGGGATGAGTGTGGGTCTGTCTGCTGAGACCCACAGCAATCAGTGTGAGGGTCTGCAAAGTCAGCAGCAGGGGAGCTGGGAAGGGGCCAAGGAAACAACGTGCCTTCCCTGTCCTGGGGAAGCTGGCTGTGTCTCCACAGCCTTGGGGGACAGCCCTGGACAGCAAAGGACCTGCTGGCAGAGCAGGATATTGGGGGGCTTTTTTTGGAGTCCATTTCAACGACAAATAGAATTTGTTTTAGATGAGTCATTTTGTTTAGGTTTCAGTGCACAATTAGGTGAGAAGTTAGGTGTGCAGCGGTGGTCTTCCATAGAGAATGTAACAGTTCTTATTTCACCGATGTTAACTGATCATGGGGACATCTCTGGGACCTATTCCTGCCCATGTTTGTCATTAGGAACAAAGCAGGAGCTTCTAAGTTAATCTTTATTGCTAGAGTGATGTTGATAGTATTATTAGGATGAATATTTTAATTTTTAACAAATGTATCCATTTGAGAGCCAGGCTGTGGTTGAGCTTTCCTCTAGTTCAGTCTTCACTGCTCACAGTGGTTAGAAGACAAAAGCCAGAGGTGGGAAGCTCGACCCGGACTTCGCCCTGGGTCGGGGGGGTGGGCAGGAGCCAGGGAGAGCGTCACTGTGTGGCCCAGGCTCTGCAGCAGCTGGGCGCAGGAGTGGGAGCCAGAGGCCACACAGAACCCTGGCACCCTGACACGGGACCTAGTCCCAGGCTTGGTCTGCCCCGCACAGATCGTCACAGTTGTGCTGCACAACCCACCCTACAACAAACTGCGTGCTTTCTAACCAAGACGCCTCCTGGAGACAGAAAGTGAAATGATGTTGGCGGGGATGGGGACATGATGTGCTTCTGAGTATGCAGTTCAGTTGTAGGTAGTTGGTGGCAGTGACTGCACAGCAGTTCACCATAGCTAATCCCACTGCACTCTGCTGATCCTGGTGAGGAGCGGGTGTTTAGCATGGAGCCTTGGCCCCTGACTCCGGCTTCCTGCTACTGCAGATCCTGGGCAAGGAGTGGGCTGCTGCCACCAGGGTGCACAAACTAGATTGAATTCGTGGCTTCTGGCCCAGCCTTTACATTTGGGAGTGAGCTGATGGATAGGGGCTCTCTTCCCAAATAGATAAACTTTTTTTTTTTTTAAGATTGATTTATTTGGGCCCGGCGCGGTGGCGCAAGTGGTTAAAGGTCCTCTCCTTGCACACCCGGGATCCCATATGGGCGCTGGTTCTAATCCCGGCAGCCCCGCTTCCCTTCCAGCTCCCTGCCTGTGGCCTGGGAAAGCAGTCGAGGACGGCCCAAAGCCTTGGGACCCTGCACCCACGTGGGAGACCTAGAAGAGGCTCCTGGCTTCGGATCGGCATAGTATCGGCCCGTTGTGCTCACTTGGGGAGTGAATCATCGGATGGAAGATCTTCCTCTCTGTCTCTCCTCTCTGTATATCCGCCTTTCCAATCAAAAAATAATAAAAATTAATCTTTAAAAAAAAAAGATTGATTTATTTATTGGAAAGTCAGATATACAGAGAGGAGGAGAGACAGAGAGGAAGATCTTCCGTCCCATGATTCACTCCCCAAGTGAGCGCAATGGCCGATGCTATGCCGATCCGAAGCCAGGATCCAGGAACTTCTTCCGGGTCTCCCACGGGGGTGCAGGGTCCCAAAGCTTTGGGCTGTCCTTGACTGCTTTCCCAGGCCACAAGCAGGGAGCTGGATGGGGAGTAGAGCTGCCGGGATTAGAGCTGGTGCCCATTTGGGATCCCAGCGCGTTCCCGGGCCTATAGATAAAACTTTTTTTTTTTTTTAAAGATTTATTTTTATTATTTTGTTATTGGAAAGGCGGATGTACAGAGAGGAAGATCTTCCATCCGATGATTCACTCCCCAAGTGAGCGCAACGGGTCGATACTATGCCGATCCAAAGCCAGGAGCCTCTTCTAGGTCTCCCACGCGGGTGCAGGGTCCCAAAGCTTTGGGCCGTCCTTGACTGCTTTCCCAGGCCACAGGCAGGGAGCTGGAAGGGAAGCGGGGCTGCCGGGATTAGAACCGGCGTCCATATGGGATCCCGGGTGTGCAAGGAGAGGACCTTTAACCACTTGCACCACCGCGCCGGGCCCAGATAAAACTTTTTAAAGAAAACATTTTGTAATGGTTAAAATGTTAAATTGTATGTCCTGTGTGTTTTACCACAGTCAGAAGAACTAGAAAAAGAGCAGTTGTTGAACGGGTTCACCTTTCCTTGTTAGTGGCCTTTCTCAGCAGACTCCATTGGCTGCAAGTTTCCTTGTTTGCACATTGTCATTGACGTGCTCTCGTCCTGTGGCTCCTCAGCCATCCCTGTCTCTTTTATGGGGCCCGGGGATAGGCCTGACAGAGGCTCCCTGTCCCCCAGGAAGAGGGCGAGACCACCATCCTGCAGCTGGAGAAGGACCTGCGCACTCAGGTGGAGCTGATGCGGAAGCAGAAGAAGGACAGGAAGCAGGAGCTAAAGCTGCTGCGGGAGCAGGACCAGGAGCTCTGCGAGATCCTCTGCATGCCGCCCCACGAGATGGACAGCACCACCGTGCCCAGCCTGGAGGAGCTGAACCAGCTCCGGCAGCGCGTGGCCACCCTGAAGGAAACAAAGGTAGCCCATCCACCTGTGTGTGTGCCTGCTGCACAGCCAGTGCTGTGTGTGCCTGCTGCACAGCCAGTGCGCCCCCCTGGGCTGCGGGTCACTGTCTCATTCATTGTCTAGGCATCCAGGCGGGAGGAGTTTGTCAGCCTGAAGAGGCAGATCATAGCATGCATGGAGGAGCTGGAACACGCCCCGGACACGAGCTTCGAGAGGGATGTGGTGTGTGAGGATGAAGATGCCTTCTGCTTGTCTCTGGAGAATATTGCTACCCTGCAGAAGCTGCTGTGGCAGGTACTTCCTCGGGGCTGTGCTGTTGCCACCACAGTGCACATTGTGGAACAGCACAGCGAGGCCACCTCAGTTTGTTTTCCATCTTCAGTGTCCACTGAGAAAAAGGAGAGGAGAAGTGGTGACTGACAAATGTGTGTGTCACTCTGAGAACATAAGATTGAAGTCTTTGGATTAAAGTAGGCTAGGATATAATTGAAAAAACCTTCACATCAGAAGCCTCATTCTTGAGGGCTGAGATCCACCAGGGGTGCAGCTGGTCTTACAGCTTGGGTCAGGAAATGGGGATGAGCCTCAGGACCTGTCATGAACATCCTTGTCCTTGTGGGCCTGAGTGCCTCTGGTGCTGCCACCCAGTTGGGGATGACCATGGCTTTCTTCGCCACAGCTGGAAATGCGGAAGTCACAGAATGAAGCGGCATGCGAGAACCTGAGGGCCCAGATCCGAGAGCTGTGGGACAGGTTGGAAATACCTGCTGAAGAGAGAGAAGCTGTGGCCACGGTCATGACGGGGTCGAAGGCCAAAGTCAGGAAAGCGGTAAGAAATCCAAAAGGTGCTGGGCCTGCAGTCTTTTTTTTTTTTTTTTGTAAGATTCATTCATTTATTTTTTTTTTATTGGAAAGTCAGATATACAGAGAGAAGGAGAAACAGAGAGAGAGATCTTCCATCTGCTGGTTCACTCCCCAAGTGGCCGCAATGGCCACAGCTGAGCTGATCCAAAACCAGGAGCCAGGAGCTTCAGGGTCTCCCACGTGGGTGCAGGGTCCCAAGGCTTTGGGCCGTCCTCGACTGCTTTTCCAGGCCACAAGCAGGGAGCTGGATGGGAAGTGGAACAGCCGGGATACAAACTGGCACCCATGTGGAATCCTGGCACATGCGAGGCAAGGACTTTAGTCATGAGGCTGCTGCAGCCAGGCCCAAGGCCTGCAGTCTTTTGTGACCGTCTCTGCATACTGCCTAGTATCCTCACCAGCTTGTGTCTGAGGCCAGCCTATTAAGCATCAGGAAAGGGTGGAAGTGGTGTTCCTTTTTTTTTTTTTACTTTTTGAAAAGATTTATTTATATGTTTGACAAAAAGAGTTGCTAGTTCACTCCCCAGGTGGCCACAGTGGGTGAGGCTGGGTCAGACCAAAGCCAGGAGCTAGGAGCTTCATTTAGGTTTTCCATGTAGGTACAGTGGTCCAAGCACCTGGATCACCTTCTGCTATTTACATCAGCAGGAAGCTGGGTAGGAGGTACAACAGACAAGAACTGGCACTCGTAAAGGATGCTAACTTTCAGGCAGACTTAACCCATGATACCACAACACTGGTCCCCATCTCCATCTTTGTGCCTGGTACTGGGATATCCCTTATGTATCATTTTTGTAAAGAGTATTGACTTAGTTCTGTGTCTTTCTGTTCTACTAAAGGAGGGAAACTTTTTGGAACCATGAGTATGACAACAACTTCAATGGGTCTTCCCTTTCAGCTACAATTAGAAGTGGATCGGTTAGAAGAACTGAAAATGCAAAATATGAAGAAAATGATTGAAGCCACGCGAGTGGAGCTGGCTCGGTACTGGGAGCAGTGTTTTTACAGCCAGGAGCAGAGAGAAGCCTTCACCCCGTACTACGCTGGTGAGTGCTGGGCCCTGCTCCTGGGCCATTCCTCATCTTCCCGAGGCCTGGTCACTTGCTCTCTGAGTCACCGCAGCTGCCCATCCAGGCCACAGTATGTAGCTGTCATTCCCATATACTCGGCACTGGGAGATGCTTTCTGGTGTTTGGACACATGGCTGTGGAGCCCTGATCCGGTGCTTCCTCGCTGCAGCTGCAGTGTCAGACCCTTAGCAGTTAGTTCATGTAATCCTGTCCAGAGATGAGGACCCAGAAAGGTTGAGCAACTCGGCCCGGATCAGAGGGCAGCAGGTGCCCAGAGGGGTGTGACCTCTGACCCATTGGGATTCTAGCATGAGCAATGAGGCTGTCCTAACTTGTATAACACGTATTTGGGGCTTTCTCTGTGTCCCAGTCCTTCATTGGCTGGACAAGATGAGGGGGAGATGAGAAGACTAAAGCAAGGAGAGCTGCCACAGTTTTGAGAATGTTAATCATTGTGTCTACACCTAGTCACCTGGTCCCTGTTCCAGGCTGACTGTGACAAGCCTGGATTTCATTAGCTGCCACCCCTCTCCGCCCACCCCACACTCGTCCTGTATCCTTTTATGACGAAAAACAGTCTGAGTCCATTTTATGAAAGTGGGGTTAGTACGTAGGGACAGTAGACACTGCAGAAATTTCCCAAGCCTCCTGGGCCCATCTGTTGCAGAAGACTACACGGAAAATCTGCTCCAGCTCCACGATGCAGAGATCGTGCGGTTACGAAACTACTACGAGGTTCACAAGGAACTCTTCGAAGGGGTCCAGAAGTGGAAGGAGAGCTGGGAGCTGTTCCTAGAGTTTGAGGTACTGCGCTAGCATGTGTCCTTTTCCTCTGGGTGGAACGGAGTGTAAGAAGGCGCTCTGGAGCTGACCAGAGGCCTGTCTCCTGGTTCTCAGCCAGCTCCTGCCAGCCTGTCTGAATTGCGTGATTGCTCATTATTGGAACCCCTCCATGTCTGTCTTAAATTGGAAAAATTAACTTGAATGTTTTAAAAAAGATTTATTTATTTGTTTGATGGAGTTAGAGACGAGGGGAGAATCAGAAATCTGCTTGTGGTTCGCTCTCCAAATAGTTGCAATGGCCAGGGCTAAGCCAGGCACTTCACCTGGGCCTCACTTGTGGGTACAAGGCCCAGACGCGTGTGCCATCTTTGCCGCTTTTCCCAGGCACATTAGCAGGAAGGTAAATCAGAAGTGAAGCAGCCAGGACATAGTCCACACCCATACAAGATGGCAACACCACAGGCATTGTGTTTACTCACTACACCACAAGGCCAGCCTCGTGTTTCTTTTAATTTTTAAGATGTATTTATGGAGAGGCAAAGTGACAAGAGTTAGTTCTTCATCCAGTGGTTCACTCCCTAAGTGGCTGCAGCAGTGTCTGGAGCTAGGCCTTCAAGAAGCCAGGAGCCCCAGTCCCAATCTGAGTCTCCTGCTTGAGCCAGCCCTGCTGCATCCCAGGGGGCATGTTGTCAGGATGCTGGAATCAGAAGAGCCAGGACTCAAGCCAGACTCTGTGATACAGGACGCAGGTGTCCAAGCGGCATCTTAGCTGCTACACCCAGTGCCTGTGTGTGTGTGTGTGTGTGTGTGTGTGTGTGTGTCTCCTTCCTGCCCCAAGTTAACATTTGAATGTGAAACTTAACATGCATCGACATGAAGGAAGAACCTAAAATGAATGGCTTAAACAAGGGTGAGGTTGTTTGCAAAGTTGTCAGGCCCCAAGGGCACATCACAAGCTGGGTGGCTGAGGGGTTATGCCCTTCCAGCCTGTGGTGCACATCTGCTCTGCAGTCCTGTGACTTCTGTGTCCTGCCGGAAGCCTCCAAGCCAAATCGCTGCCCCGTCAGTCTGGTTCTGCTACCAGGGAGAAGTCATCAAACATCTCCACCACTGTAGCCCTGGGTAGGGTGGGCAGGGAGCTGACATCTCCCATGGGAGTGCTAGCTCTAGGCCCTGCTGCTTGGTTTGTGGTCCAGCTTCCTGCTCACGTGCACCCTGGTCTGCGCCAGATGAGGGCTCAGCAGATCCCTGCCACGCAGGCGAGAACCCAGAGGCAGCTCCTGGCTCCTGGCTGTGACCTAGCCTAGCCCTAGTTATTACGGCCACATATGATAATGTGCTCTGTCCCCCTTTCTCTGTCCGTTTACCTTTCAAGTAAGTATATAAGCAAACACATCTTGGAAAAAAACATTAAAAATGCCACTTTAAAAAAGAAAGATGAGGGCCCATCGTAGTAGCCTAGTAGTTAAAGTCCTTGCCTTGCATAAGCTGGGATCCTATATGGGGGCTCTACCTCTCACCCAGCTCTCTGCTTGTGACCTGGGAAAGCAGTCGAGGACAGCCCAAGTCACCCTGCACCCTCGTAGAGAACCAGAGGAGGTTCCTTGCTCCTGGCTTTTAATTGGCTCAGCTCCCACCATTCTGGCCACTTGGGGAATGATTTAGTGGACAGAGGATCTTCCTCTTTCTCCTTCTCTAATCCGACTTTCCAGTCAAAACAAATCTTAAAATCAAAGGAAGATGATCACCTGGTGTTATGGTGTATTTCTAGATCCAGGGGTGCATTTCTCACACTCCACGGAGTCCCGGTGGTGAGGGCCTGGGCTGGTCCTGTGAGAGCAGCAAGGAGCCAGCAGGGATTCCTACAGGCACCCTCCCATCTGTACCCAGGAAAGAGCGGACTCTGTGTGGGCAGCACGCGAGTGTCCTGGTGCTCTGGCAGTCCTTACTTTAGAACATCTGAAAGTCACTTACTACCCCTTCTAATGTGAACTGTAGGCTGTCCCCAGGGGCATTCCGGCAGGAAATAGCTTGAATGTCTGACTTCCAAACAGTAAAGGACATTTTATCAACTTGTATTTTGAGTATGGACACCCAAGAGGTAGCAGCACAAACCACACCTTTGTCCTGCAGCTCCAAGTAAGGCTGAGGGGCTCACATGTTGTTTGTGAAGGACCTTGTGCTGTGCACGTCACAGCTGCGCTGTCCCCCTAGGCCAGATGTGAGTGGGAAGGAGGTGCTGCCCCGGCCCCCTCATGCCTGCGCTTCCCTGGTGCTCCACAGACCTTGTAGCACACAGTGGAGTGAGGGAGGAGAGCTGGCGATGGGATGCGTACACAGAGCCTCTCTCAGTTGGAAAGAGAAGCCCAGGTGACCTTGTCCCAGCTGGTGCACAGGGCTGCTCTTTGCTTTAGAATTCCCTATTCCTCCTTGCTGAAAATGGCCGGGTAGGACCCAGAGCCCTCAGGGGCCATTGTTAGCACATCACAGGAAAGTCTTAGCCTTAGCCAAAAGCATTGGTTCACTCTACTAGAAGTTTCTCTAATGAAACTGTATCTTCGCAGAGAAAAGCTTCAGATCCAAGTCGATTCACAAACCGGGGAGGAAATCTGCTGAAGGAGGAAAAGCAGCGAGTCAAGCTCCAGAAGACACTCCCAAAGGTGATGCTGCACCGGAGGTCTTGGTGCTGGGCCACAAAATAGTTCATGTGCTACATAGCCTTGGTTCTGTATCACTTTGCCCCCAGACTGTCCTCTTGTGGGCACATTATGTGCTGACTGCAGTGGCGGCAGCTGTGTGCAGGCTGCGTCCTTGGCTCCCAGCCCCCTGCTCCCTTACAATCCTGGGGCTCGAGCCCAGATGCAGACATCGAGGGCCGTCTCGTGGGCTTCCCCTCTGGGAGCCTCTGTCCTCATCAGCTCCAGTCCACACACATAGGCAGGGGCCTGCCTAACCGCCCACGTGAAGACCCAGTTTCCGAACCGGTCACATTCATAGGTGGTGGGGGAAGGACCTGAGCCCCCAGACTGAGAGTGGGTTTGGCTCTGAGAAGCCAGTGCTAGGGGCTGTGCTGCGGTCCCCGGCTGTCCCATCTGCTGAGGGTGGGGGCCCCTCTTGCCGAGCTTGCCTTATCTCACAGGCCTGCCTCCCTGGATGGGTGGTGTGGTTTGTTCTCACTTTGCCCAGGAGCAAACCAAGGCCCAGGAAGTGACCTGTCCATCTTCACACAGCCAGCCAGAGGGTGGAGATCCCCCCCCCCAGGGAAGCCCAGGGTCGCCCAGTCTTGCCCTCTGGCACACAGCCTGACTCAGGGCCACCTCTAACTTGAGGACTTGGGGGCCCACCTGGAGTGTTGCTTTCTCCTGCCTCCTCCAGGATTGTGAATGAGTGTCCCTTGGCTGCGGGCCGGACCCAACTGCCTGCAGTCAGGCCGCTGAGGCTCAGGAGGGAGCGGGCATTGTGCAGGAGTCATTCCACTAGGCTTCACCCAGGAGATTTACAAACATGTCCTGGTTTCTGGGCTCAGCTGGAAGAGGATCTGAAGGCCCGGATTGAAATGTGGGAACAGGAGCATTCAATGGCATTTATGGTGAATGGGCAGAAATTCGTGGAGTATATGGCGGAGCAGCAGGAGACGTACCGCCTGGCCAAGGAGCGAGCCAAACAGGAGCGGGTAAGTGAGCAGCAGTGGGGGGAGAAGATGCAGGGATCCCAGCAGGCGGGCCAGTGGCTGTGCCAGGTCAGCACTGGCTGTGGGCAGGTGCCCTGCTTGGCCCTGTCCTGGACATAGATTAATAACACTTCTGACTTTGAGCAGCAACTGAAGAACAAGCAGACAGACAGGCTCCTGTGCGGTACTCCCCGCACTCCCAGCAAGCGGCAAGGACTGGCACCCACCACGCCAAGCAAAGTACGCAAGGTACCGTGCGGCTTCCCTTGTGTTTTTGTTTTGTTTTTTGTTTGTTTTTTTACTTCATTTATTTAAAATACACATCTTCTATCGGCTGTGTTACTGCCCACGCACCCACTGCAGCCAGAGCAGGGCCCTCATGCCAGCATTCAGATGTGAATGGGTAAGTGGCAGGGGCTCGACTTCCTGCTGCCACCTGAGGTGTGTGCTAGCGGGAAGCGGGCTTTGAAAGCAAGGCTTGGATTCGAACCCAGGCATTCTGATTTAGGATGTGGTGCGCAAGCTGCTGCTTCACCAATACTCCAAGCCTGCCCCTAAACTTTTAATTCGATTTTCCACACAGTCTTTGAAATATGTTGTGAAACACCAGCAGAGTCAAGCTGAAGAACACAGCCACAGCCCCAGCTTTCTGACCGCTGCTTTGTGTTGCCTCTGCCCCCACCCCCACCCCCCAGCCCCTGGCAACCAGGGGTTACTCTGTGGCTACAGATTACTCTGCTTTTCCTATAATTTATAGAAACGGGCTGATGCAATATGAGGGGACTTCAAAATCCTCATGGAGAGGTGGGCATTTGGTTGAGTGTAGATCTTGAGGTGGAACATGGCACGTGATGATCAAGCACTTGGCGACCTGCCACCACACAGGACACCTGGCTGGAGCCCTGACCTCCAGCTTTGGCCCTTCCCAACCACAGCCAAGTGGGCACTCATGGGACTCACTTGCTGTCTGTCTCCTAGATAATATCTTTAAACTCTTGCACAGTAGCCTAGTGGCTAAAGTCCTAGTCTTGCACATGCTGGGATCCCATATGGGCGCTGGTTTGTGTCCCGGTATCCCCGCTTCCCATCCAACTCAGAGCTTGTTGCTTTGGGACTCTGCACCCATGTTTGAAACCCAGAAGAGGCTCCTGGTTCCTGGCTTCAGATCAGTCAGCTCCAGCCATTGTGGCCACTTGGGGAGTGAGTCAGCAGACGGAAGATCTTCCTGTCTGTGTCGCATCTCTCTGTAAATCTGACTTTCCAATAAATAAAAATATTTTAAAAGAAAAAAATAACTGCCAATCAAATTCATAGTATTTTTTTTAAGATTTATTTATTTATTGGAAAGTCAGATATACAGAGAGGAGGAGAGACAGAGAGGAAGATCTTCCATCAATGATTCACTCCCCAAGTGAGCGCAAAGGCCGATGCTATCCCGATCCAAAGCTAGGATCCAGGAACTTCTTCTGGGTCTCCCACACGGGTGCAGGGTCCCAAGGCTTTGGGCCGTCCTCAACTGCTTTTCCAGGCCACAAGCAGGGAGCTGAAGGGGAAGTGAAGCTGCCGGGATTAGAACCGGCGCCCATATGGGATCCCAGGGTTTTCAAGGTGAGGACTTTAGCTGCTAGGCCATGCCGCCGGGCCCCATAGTATTTTCTAAAACAAACAAAAAAACCTCATGGAAACGGAATTAACAGCTAAGGTTATTTTGGTGCAGAAATTTTTCAATTAAGTTTTTGTTTTGTAATATGCATTCTCCATGACTTTTTGGAAATTTATTTTTTTGTTTTTTGGTTTCTTGGATTAGCATAGCAACTTAATTATTTGAAAGGCAGAGTAACATCTTCTGTGTGCTGGCTCACTTTCCTAATGGCCGGAGGGCCGGGCTCCAGGCAGGTCTTCCATGTTGGCAGCAGGAGGTCAAGTGCCTGCGCCATCTGTGCTGCCTTCCCAGGTGATCCAAGAAGTGGACGAAGAGCAGAGCAGACAGGGCTTGAACCAGGCACCCTGATGTGGGATGCTTAGCCTGCTGTGCTCCAGCACATGATTTCTTATCTTGCGAGTTACTGTGTTGACATGTATCAAGGGCTTCATCCCAGAGATCTGTAAATCTCAGTGCTTTTGTTGTTGGGCACTTTCCCCTGGGATGTGTGTAGTGTAACTGGCTTATCTGTCTCCTGTGGACGGGCATTTTGGTTGTTTGCAGTGTTGGCTATTACAGCTCAGACAGTTCGGTATCAGGGTGTAAGTCTTGGGTCGCATGTACCCAGTTTCCTGTGGAATGGAGTGTTTGGGCAGTAGTCACCACGTAATCGTGCAGCGGTAGACCTCGCAGCTCTGTCATGGGAACCTGCCTTTCCTGCCCGGCTCTTGTTTGTCCACAGGGTGGAGGTGGCCAGTGGTCCTGTGGCTGTCTCAATCAGTAATCTGTCCGCTCTTCTCCTCAGCTGAACCCTGCCTCCAATGCCAGCACCATAAGCAGCAGTAACGGTCGACCTGTCTTTGGGGCAACCATTTGCCACTCCCCCATGACGCGACTTCCTCCTTCTGGCAGCAAGGTGAGTGTGGGCTGTGTGTAGGCAGGAATATCCCCACACTCTGGGCAGCCCATGTGCCCTGAGTCCCTGCCTACTTGTCATGGTTCCACACATGGAGTCAGGTGTCACTGAGATGCTGCAAGGTGACACATGTGCGCAAGCTAATCATTAGATAAGGGATGGAAAGATAACAGTTGTACAGGCCACCTTGGAAAGCACCATGTGCATCTGGGAATGGACTTGTCTCTGTGGGTTCTATGTAATGCCTCACCTTGCCCTGGTCCTGAGCCAGGTCCCCCTGCGTTGGACTCCAGCCCAGTGATGCTGCATCGTTAGGCACAGTCATGTACGCAGAAGAGGAAAGGTGAGGAGTGTAGTATGTGCTCAAATGTGTCAGGGAGCCGGTGTGGTAGCATAACTGGCTAATCCTCCATCCAGCATCCCATGTGTTGGTTCATGTCCTGGCTGCCCTACTTCCCATTCAGCTCCCTCCCTGCTTGTGGCCTGGGAAGGCAAAAGAGGATGGCCCAAAGCTTTGGGACCCTGTACCTGCTTGGGAGGCCTGGAAGAAGTTCCTGGCTCCCAGCTTCAGATCAGCTCAGCTCTAGCTATTGTGGCCATTTAGGGGATGAACCAGTGCATGGACGATTTCTTTCACTTTGTCCTCTAAAAACCTTACCTTTTGAATTAAAAACAAAAACAAAAACAAAAACTTAAAATATGGCATATGTTTCACCTATCGTAGTCTAAGTGTAAGTCTTGAAGAACTCACAAACCAAAAGAGTAAGTTTATAAATACATATTAATAATCTAAAAATGTTATCAGCCTTTGGTCATACAGGATTTGTGTATGTGTTAGTTTGTGGTTGTTTTAGGTTTATTTACTTTGAGAGATCTTCCATTCTTTGCGTCACTCCCCAGAAGGGTACAGCCTGGGAGCCGGCACAGTGTTTCAGCTATCTAATTCATCTTCAAGCACAGCATCCAGTGTGGGCACCGGTTCTAATCCTGGCAGCTCCACTTCTCATCCAGCTCCCTGCTTGTGGCCTGGGAAAGCAGTAGAGGATGGGCCAGGTCCTTGGGCCTTTGTATTCACATGGGAGATCCAGAAGAAGCTCCCGGCTCCTGGTTTCAGATCAGGTCTGCTCTGGCCACTATGGCCACTTGGGGAATGAACCATTGGGTTGAAGATATCTGTGTCTCCTTCTCTATGTAAATCTGTCTTTCCAGTAAAATTAAGTCTTAAAAAAAAAAAAAAATAGGTGCAGCCTCCAGGGCTGGGCCAGGGCAGGACCAGGAGCTTTATCATCTACATGGGTGCAGGGGCCCAAGGACTTGGGCCATCCAACACTATTTTCCCAGGCCGTATGTAGAGAGCTGGATCAGAAGTGGAGCCGCTGGAACTCAAATCAGTGCCCATGTGGGGTGCCCATGTGGGATGCTGCTGGCTTCAGGGCACCTCACCTGGGACTCCATTGTGCCTGCCCCCTGTGCATATTCTTCTCTGACCTACATCTGTTTCCTTCCTCTGCAGCCAGTCCTCACTTCCTCCTGTTCAGGGAAGAAGACGCCCCACGCCAGCCGGCTGGCAGCCAACAAGGAGAACATAGAGGTCAATGAGAGCATCCTGAGTGGTGGGTACCCCAGCTCGGCCCCCCTGCAGTGCAACTTCAGCATTAACTCTGTTGCCAGCACCTATTCTCAGTTTGCGGTAATTCACATTTTCTGATGTCTACCAGTCTCTGGGGAGCACACAGTTGGGGCAGGGTGGACATCCTCCCAGGGCATCCCCGCAGTTAGAAGGCTGAGAATCCCTTTCCTGCCTTGACTGGGGTGGGTGGCACTGGACAGGAAGTGTCAGTGGCAGCCATGGTGTTGCTGCCTGGCTTCTGCTTGAGAGCGGCCCTCCCTGGCCGCAGGCAGCCCCCCAGCCTGGCCCCGCTGCTCTCGTGGTGGAGTTCTTGGTGACTGTCTGAATTCTCTGTTCTTAGAAGAATCCGTCCCTGTCTGACGGCTCCACTGTTGGGCTTCAGGTCTGTATGGCAACCTCCGCATGTCCCATGTCCCTTTCCAAGCTGGTCTATCACCTGCTGGCTTCCTTTCCTCTGGGCACAAGGCCGCGCTAACCAGTCATCCGTATTGCCGTGGAGCCTTTCTCACTAAGCAAGCAGGGACTGCAGTCCTCGACTTGGGAAACACAAATCTCACTAAGGCTGCTGCTCAGAAGAAAACCTGTGCAGACTTGAATCGGATTCTCAGCCCCATCTAAAAATCAGGCAAAGGTTTGAATCTGTTGCTTCCCAGCAGGCAACCTCATCCTGCTGATGATGGTGACGACATTGGAGGCCCCATCCTGGGGTGGGGAGGGTGCCCCAGCTGTGTGCTGCCTGCAGTGAGGCTCTTGGCCTGGGTGCTGATGACTTCCTGGAGTAAATGCTTTACTAACCAGCTGCGCTGCCAGCCAGCGCTCATCTCTTCGCTTGCCTGCCTGCTGAGCTGCCCAAGCCTGGCCTGGGGAGAAAGTCACTTCCCAGAGTGCTCCTCCCTCCATGTCCTGCCCTGTGTTTGCTGTCACTTAACTGCAGGGCCTTTTTCTTATTCTGCTAAGAGGTTCTTCCCTTGCTAAGAGTGAGGGTGGAGAGAAGCAAGGCCGCCTCCTCCCTCGACACTTGCCTGGGTGAGGAGGGACAGAACCTAAGGCTTGGGTAGCTCTCAGCAGACACCACCTGCACATTCTGCACTTTGCAAATCATGGGGATTCGGGCCTGCCTGTGGGAGTGGGGTGCATCCTGTGGCACCAGTGACTGCACAGATGGTCTAGCTTTCTCTCTTGCTTGCTCAGCCAGAGCCACTGCACCTGCTGGGGCTTCGTTCTGCCTGCTTGTGCCAGAGGTGCAGCTTCGACAGCCCCTAAGGATGCTGAGCTTCACTAACACCTGTGTTCTTTGGGGGATTCCCACTTTCTCTTACAATTCTCTACCATGTGCTCCAGCATGAGATCAAATCACCAGCAGCCCAGGGATTGGTAGATACATGGGCTGGCCTGTGCTTTCCATATGGTTGGGGCTCCAGAAGTAGCTGTGTCAGGACCTGGTCTCTCCTCAGTGACGCCCCGACAGTCAAATGGCTGAACGAAAGGCGTGGGCACGGGTCAGGTGCTTGGTCGGTGACCGAGTGCAGCTGAGCTTCCCACTAGCTGCTGATGCTGGCAAGGCCCTGCCTACAGGGCACCTTTGCTAAGAAGGGCAGGACCTGCAGGAGGGGAAGGAGCCACCACTAACACTGATCGTTTCTCCACAGCGAGAACTCTCAAAGGCTTCCATATCTGATGCTACTGCACGAGTCCTCAATTCCACCAACATCCAGCCCTGAGAAGGCGGTGGCTTCCTGTGCCAAGGCTGAACCTCAGCGTAGGGGCTTCGCTTTCCCTGCAGCTTTAGGACCTTCCCCGGGGCCTCCCTCCCAGGCCCCGGCCAGGTGGACCAGGGGAGTCCATCTAGACGTAGTGTCATCCCTAGAGACTTGGTTTTGTTTTTATCTCAGAACTACATTAAAGCGTTGTTTATAGCTATAAGTGCAAATGCTACCTACCACAGGGACCCGATTTCTCTACCCTGTAATCACACCCGCTGAAGTCTGATCAAGGTTTAGTGGAAGGAAATGGTTAACTCTGTCCTGCCATAGTGTGGATGTGAAGTAACTTAGCCGTGACCGCCTTTGCTTAGGGATGCCGGAGAAGAGCTGCAGCTGTGACAGCCTTGCACAAGGGGTGAAGGGACCATGTGTCTGCGGTGGATACGGCCTGGCCTACAGGCGGGAGGCTGGCTGCTCCCTTGCTGACTGCGTACAGTGCGGTGCCCTCTGTGGGAGCGTGTGTGAGAGCAAGCACACTCGGGTCTCTGTCCTCTAGAACCTGGTCCCTTCCCCCGGCCTGTGCCTGCTGTGCCTCAGTCCCACTGTCTCCCGTGGCTGCCAGCCAGGTGGGAGGCTGGCTGGCTAGCCTGGGCTGCAGCTGGCGCTGAAGTTTTGCACACGTCACTACTGAGGGGTCACTCCTGCTCCAGGACCAGGCTCCTCTGCCTCCCATGTCCATCACTACTGCTCCTGCTAAAGCACTAGTATTTATTCCCACCTGCCTGCACAGGGTGCTGGGGTGCTGCGGGCACATTTGGGGGCTCCCCAGTGTCAACCACGCTGTCTAGTCCTATGTATATGTGTACTGTTTGTTAAGTATAAATCTGTTCTAAAGAACTGTGTGTCCTTTCATTTTCAAGAGCTGCACTAGATCAAGAGTTTGGCCTAGTGGTTAAGATGCCGATACAGACCCCTGGGAGGTGCTGGTGAAGGTGGTTGGGTCTCTACTGCCCACGGGGAGAGGTGAATCCCGTTCCTGACTCAGCACAGCCCGGCTGTGGGCATTTGGAAAGGAACCAGTGGATTGAGTTTTCTGTCAAATAAATCTTCATTTTAAAGTTTTTGTAGTGTTTTCGTTTTTTTTTTTTTTCTCAATTTCTGGTTAATTTGTCCTATGGGAAGCAGAGAAGACCAAAAGGACATAATGAATCATTTTGATAAAGAATATGACTTTTGTATTCCTTTGTGTGTTCTAAATTTTAGGTTATCTCCTGATGTAAAAAGGAGCTGAGGAAATTTTTTTAAAAAGATTTATTTTTATTGCAAAGCCAGGTATACAGAGAGGAAGATCTTCTGTCCGATGATTCACTCCCCAAGTGACCACAACGGCTTCCTGCCCATGGCCTGGGAAAGCAGCAGAGGATGTTCCAAGGCCGTGAGACCCAGTATCCAAGTGGGAGACCTAGAGGAAGCTCCTGGCCTTTGGCTTTGCCTAGCTCAGCTCTGGCCATTGTGACCCTTTGGGGAATGATCCAGGGGATGGAAGATCTCTCTCTTTCAAGTAAAATAATCTAAAAACCATTTAGGAGGAACCACAGTTCCTGACTTTAAAACATTTGAAAATCCCCAGTGAAAACAACCAGACGCCAAAGGCTGAAGGTGCCATTAAACTAGAGAAAATGTCCAAATTCAAGACGGCACAGATTGTAATTGCTGGGGGATGTATGCACACCGGTGTGGTCTTGGGCAGACGTGGCACGGTGACTCCTATGCAGGCAGTAGTCAGGTCTGCAGCCAAACCAAGTGCACTTAGACTTTTAACTTTTCTTTTTTTAAGAACTATTTCAGTCTTATTGGAAACACATATTAGATATGGACAGAAACAGGGTTGTGATCAAAACCTTAAAGGCATCATGCCAGAAGACTGAACCCAAATACTGAGGAATCCACTTACATGACTACTGCAAGTGGCATGGTGGCTTTAGGCGCTGGGGCAGGAGTAGGGAGCTGAGGGCGTCATGGGGGCAGTCTCAGGATGGAATGGTGCAGGCTTCTTGTAGGCAGTGAAGTGATGGTTGCCCAGCAACAGGTGCATAATTAATACACTGCAGTACAAATGGTTGAAATGGTTTGCTTTGCAAGCAGTCACAATAAACAGGTGAGCTGGTTCCAGGCACTCAGTATACCCCCCATGCACTCCAGCCCCGGGTCGTGATGTTCTAGAGCACACCAGGAAGCAGCCTCGCCTATGACCCCAGGAGTGCTCCTGAAGCCAAGGAAGCCTGGAGCAACGCCATGGAAACTGCTAGAAGGTCTGAAATACAGACTGCCAAGTTCTTGAGGAAGAAAACTTTCCCCCACCAAGAAGATAGGTTTATTTCAACAGTAGGTTTGAAACTTGCCCTAGACAAGGGTGCTACAGTAACAATATCAGGAACAGGGACCTGCACTACAGCCTAGCAGCTAAAGTCCTTGCTTTGCAAGCATTAGTATCCCATATGGGTGCTGGTTCATATCCTGGCGGCCCTGCTTCCCTTCCAGCTTCTGCTTGTGGCCTGGGAAAGCGGTAGAGGACAACCCAAAGCCTTGGGACCCTGCAACTGTGTGGGAGACCTGGAAGAGGCTCCAGGCTCCTGGCTTCGGATGGGAGCAGCTCTGGCCATTATGGCCGCTAAGGGAGTAGATCAACAGATGGAAGATCTTCCTCTTGGTCTCTCCTCCTCTCTGTATATCTGCCTTTCCAATAAAAAGAAAAAATAAATCTGAAAAAAATTACGTCAAGAACAATTTCCTCCCTTCAACAATCCCTCTGCATCTTGTTCAACACTGCTCCACAGCCCATGCTCTGCTCTACATGCCCTGTCAGCCTGCGCTGCTGCTTCAGAGACCTGGCACCTCAAGCGGAGCAGTCAAGGGAGGCGGGATGAACCACTGTGGTGCAGAGCCCAACGACGGTGATGATGATATGATGATGGTGATGACAACAAAATGGACCGACTCCCTTCTATACACTTAACAAAACAAAAAAATCCTGAACTATTTATTATTTGAAAGAATTATAGAGAGAAAGAGATCCATCTCCTATCCACTGGCTCACTCCCCAGATGATCACAACAGTGGGGGCTGGGCCAGGCCAGAGCCAGTCCCTCCAAGTCTCCCATGTGTATGGTATAAGGCCCAAATGCTTGCGCTAGCCTCTGCTGCAGTTCCCAGGCACATTAACAGGGAGCTGGATCAGAAGTGGAGCAGCCAGGACTCAAACAGATGCTGGCATTACAGATGACAGGTTTAATTGCACCAGCTCCCTTTCTATAGAGTTTAAACCCAAGTCAGGAGGACCTGAGAAGCTTGGCTCCCTTTCTCTTCACTCAACACACACTGCACAGCTTGTGGGATGAAGGCACTTGCACTGAAGACTCTGAGCTGTGGCTGCTGCAGATGGTACACAGGCCTTCTGCCTCTGGAGTTCCTGGAACTGAGGGGAGCTGTTCCATTACATGGGGTCCTGAGGTCAGTTACACCTCCACCTCCACCCCGGTGCAGCAGGCTCAGTGTTTTCCTCTCCTGCCTGGGCAGCTGCTGCATCTTCCTCATTTGGGGGAGCCACGTGAGCCCAAAGCACCCCAGTTCACCCGCTGACGCCGGCCTTTCCCACTTAGTTCTGGTCGTGTGTGTGTGCTTACATGTGTATGAGTCTCTTTGTTTGTGGCTGCCTCTGCCACCTGGGAAGCACCTGGGTACTGCCCTGTGTGGTCAACAGGATAAAACCTTGCAGAAAGCAGGGACGAAGGCACAGTTGCTCAGGGGTGAATTTGCTTGAGCCAACAGGCTACTCACCTTGCTCCTGTTTGAAGAGAATACTGTACTGGAAAAGAACAGAAGCCATGTCAGTCCTGGTCAGATTTCAGCCCAACACCCCCTTCCCAGCAGGTACAGTCCCTACAGTGTTAGCCACTTCCTCTGCTATCACCCCGACTGCCCTCAGGCTCCTGGACTGAGAACAGTCAGACCAGAGAAAAATTAATTGGGAAACAAAGGGAGACTCTCCCTTCTGCTCCCATCATTCCTGAGGCCACAGGGTGCTGACAGACTGTGCTTCCCTTCTCTGCTCTGGTCACTGGGAAGCTCATGGCCCAGCACGAGGCAGTGGAACTCTGCAGCCGTGCCAGTAGCACAGTCCACTAGCTTTGCCCTTAATCCCATCTTTAACCCTAACCTGTCACCAGCACTCCCTAATCCATCACCAGCACTCCCTAACCCATCACAAACACTCCCTAAGCCATCACCAGCACTCCCTAGTCCTGGCTGAGTGACTAGCAGCCCAAGGCACCGGGCTCTTCAGGAACAGAGCAGACAGGTGCTGGCTTTGCGACTGCACTAACCTAGACTGCCATCCGGCCATCAGGTGGCCACATCATTGGATGTACTTGTCTGCAACGCAGGCCTTACCTGGTTGGTCATCTCCTTTACAAGGACGCAGGGCTAGAGGCCGACAGCTCTGTGGAAACAACACCAGACCTTCAGTCAGGGCTGTGATCGTAACAGAGGAGTGACAGGGGACACCCCTTGGCCAAGAAAGAAAAGCAGCCCCATGTTGATCACTAAGGATCATTTGCTGGAACTCCCTTCACCAGCCCTGCCAAGTGGCAGGATCTCTCCATTCTGAACTTCAGGATTCAAACAAGTCTTGGAGAATAGATTAAGAGGGTCTGGCAACCGTAGCCTAATGGCTAAAGTCCTCGCCTAGCATGTGCTGGGATCCCAAATAGGTGCCAATCCTCATCACTCCACTTCCCTTCCAGCTCCCAGCTTGTGGCCTGGAAAAGTAGTGAAGAACAGCCCAAAGCCCTGGAACCCTGTACCAACAGTAGAGACCCAGAAGAAGCTCCTGGCTCCTGGCTTTGGATCAGCTTAGTTGAGGCCACTTGGATGCAAGATCTTTCTTTCTGTCTCTCCTTCTCTCTATAACTCCAACTTTCCAATTAAAAAACACAAATAAATCTTACAAAAAAAAATTTAAGGGGCCGGCATTCCAGCTCAATGAGTTAAGCCTCCGCCTGCAGTGCTGGTGTCTTCATATCATACAGCCAACTCAAGTCCCATCTGCTTCCCATCCAGCTCCCTGCTAATGAGCCACGGAAAGCAGCAGAAGAAAGCCAAAGGAACCAGTGGATGGAAAAATCTCTCTTCCTCTCTCAAATAAACAATAAATTTAATGTGTCAGGCCACATTAAGCATTCTTAACATTTTGTGTATGCCACAGGCCCCTCCCCTAGGAGCCTTGCAGAGCCCGATTGCAGGAGGCGTTGAAGGGCAGAGAACACACAGCAGGATCAGGGTCACCAAGTCCAGTGGGCTCTCCTTAGTCAGGGCACACTTGTTTCATCAAGTGGTCCTGCTGTGAGGCACTGCTCCTCTGAGGAGGAAGGCTAAGCTCCTGACAGCCGTGATGTGAACCTTAGTAGCTTCCACAGTAGCTAGAGTAGTAGCATAAGGAATTCAGCACAGGTAAAAGCCATAACACAGTGCATGAAACCCCAAGGAGCCATACCCAACTGTGCTCTTCCATAGCAGGAGGTGGTGGGGCACCTGCTGCAGGGACTGTCACGGACATGGTGCATCTGCTGCAGGGAACCCGCCCCTCCCCCGCCCCCTGTGAGATGATTCACTCCCCAAGTGACTGCAACAGCTGGTGCTGCGGTGATCAAAGGCAGAGGCCAGGAGCTTTTCCGGGTCACCCATGCTTTGGGCCGTCAACTGCTTTCCCAGGCCACAAGCAGGGAGCTGGATGGGAAGTGGGGCTGCCTGGATTAGAACTGGTGCCCATATGGGATCCTGGTGTGTTCAAGGTGAGGACTTCAGCCGCTAGGCCACAGCACCGGGCCTCTTTCTTATACTTTCTTACTGACAGTTACCTGACAGTACCTGGGACACAAATGTCCTTAGTTACAAAGCCTTGATTTGTTTCTGGAAAAAGAACAAGAAATTTTTTTGCAGACTGTTTATATTGAACAAAATATGTAGTTACTTCTGTGACAAACCTGTATCAGTGATTTGAGATAATGAAGCATCAAAAATAGCCAGTTCGCCCTTAAATTTAGCCTGTTTC